AGCACTTTTCATAGTAGAGAAATTTACCATTCCCCTCTTTTGTATGCTGCAAGTGTTTTCTTAATTTGTACTTGCGTTTGATTTTATGGAGTTTAATATATGGAATTTAATTCCTGGTGTGGCACTATAGGATAAGCACTAGTCTGCTAACCACAAGGTCTGCAGTTCAAACCCACCAGCCGCTCCTCAAAAACTCTATACAGGTCACTATGAGTTGAAACCAACTTGATGGCACTTAACAATAATAACAATACACTAAATCACATATAAATTTAAAGTTTCAGTACATAAATATTTCCGTTTTTGGTTTTTGCTTCTTGTATGATAATTTTTAATTTTTTTAAAAATTTCTTTCAGGTCATGTGTAGCTTTAAGCTAATTTATGAAATTAAATGGATGCATCTGCCAAGGGCAGATGGCACAGAACATTGGCTTCTGTTTTCCCCAACTAAAATTGACTGGCAGAATGTCAACACAACAAAAAAGAGAGAGAAAAGAAATCCTTTAGCAAGTGGCATCCACTATTGCTATTCAAATGATTTGGGCTAATTCTTCTAGCCCAAATGAATTATTTCAAATTCATTTGGTAGCGTTAAACATTTTCATTTTAATTCCTCACACTGCTGCACTTCTGAATGGCTCCTTCAAAGGACTTTCCCATTCATCCTTTGTCAGTCCCCAAGTTGTTACTGTGAGATAGGAAAGGCAGACAGCATCTTCACAGTACAATACAGACAAGCAAGGCTCAAAGACAATCATGACTGACCTGTCCAACCCAGTCTACTGGGTGCTGGTCTAAAGCTCTTCCCACCTCACTATGCAGAGTTGCAGAGTTTTCCAGATGAGAACGGAGAAATGGTAATAAGAGCAGGAGTTTGAGGAGTGGAGGACATACTTTTTGCATACACACACAAAAAAAGTTTTCCATTCCCATTTTCTATCTATTTTATACCTCACACTGTTAGCAAAAAATTTGTGCATTTGCCAAATTATCAAACTAGTTAAAAGAAGGGATTTTGTTAAAATATATCACTGGCACTATTTCACTTAATTCTTAAGAAACTAACAACAAGGCTCACAAAAGCGGAATCTTTTCTTGCTAAGATGGTATGTGATTGTGGTAATACAGTAAAGTGAAATATTACCAGGGGATAAGGAAGAAAAAAATCTTAGAGTTTTACATCAAAGTGTGTGTATTGATACCTGCCCACACACAATCTAATCTAGCTCATTGGAAATGGACAAATCTGTGTTATTAACTAAATATCACCATTTATTGAATGGCTAACATGCCAGGAATTTAAATCCATATCTCATTTAATCCACCTACTACTCTTGCAATGGAACTTATTACTACCAAATCATTTTATTACTCACAAAATCTAGGATGAAAGTCTAAAGAGTAGTGATCAAACTCACAAAGCAAGTAAGTCTGTATATCTAGGACTGTTCAACCCCATTCTACCACGTGGTATAATAATAATTTTAAAAATTCATTTGAGCCAAAAAGAATGATAGCCTGCTTGAATAGATTTATTAGTACTCATGCTGTAAATAATAAAAGACACATATTATAGGAATACAAGAGGTTCGTTTAATGCATTAAACTTTGGGGATTTTGTTTTGAAAGAAACATCAAGAAAGAATTTTAAAAAAAAGAAAAGAAAAGAAAGTAAAACTAGTTTCTACTTTCGTATTGTGTATCTCACATAAGAACTAGTAGTAATGGCTTAGTACTTATATCTTAAATAGCATCTGAACAAACAGATGTCTACAGGGAATTGGGTAATGGACAGCAGTCTGTCTCTGCTATTTCTTTGCTATTCTATCCCTTACACACACACACACACACACACACACACACACAAATTAAACCAGGAAAGAATACTTAAAATTTTTGTGTTTAAAAGAGCTTTTCAAATAAAGTTCAAGAAAAACAATAAAAATAAACATATGAGAAAACACTCAGTGCAACCATCCAAATAAATGTTAATAAAGGCGACAATAAGCTCTCAGTAGCCCATACCTATATTAGCACCCAAAACAATACAGTTAATTACAACTTACTTCCTCTCACTGTTTTCTTAATTATAACTTGAAAGAACTCTTTTGGATCGCTACATGGTAATGTTTTCAAAAGCCATAAAAAAAATATTTAGGTTCTAAGGCTCAATTCCAAGGAGGATATGCCTGTGTGGATTTGGGTTTACCAAAAACATTGTACATTTTTCCATCCTTGATAAAGTAAAAGGTGGTAGAATTTGATCATCACATTAATCTATATATGACAAAATTCCAAACTTGTATTTAAATACCATAGAAATATTTATTCATCTCAAGCAGAGTATATTTTAAATCAGTGAGCCTTTTCCCAACATATGAGCATATAAGCCTCTATTGGGCTAAGATTATAAATGGCAAGACAAGGCCAAGTAAAACTGATTAATTTTCTTTGTGAAGGAAGAACAAAATTAAAGTGCGTTAAGAAAGCTGAATGACTTTCAAGTACAAAGTCACTTCAAAATCTCAATTTAATTAAAATTGGAACTAAAACTAAATAAGCATTATGTTAAGTGCCACCAAGTTACTTCAGATTGATGCCGACCCTATGTAGGGTTACCAAGGAATGGCTGGTAAATTTGAACCACCAACTTTGCAGTTCAACACTCATGGAAGCAGCAGTAAAGATTTCAAACAACATATTGCATTAGGCAAATCTGCTGCACAAGATCTTTTTAAAGTGTTCAAGAACAAAGATGTCAGTTTGAGGACTAAGATGCACCTGACCCAAGCCATGGTATTTTCAATAACCTTATATGCAGGTCAAAGTCAGACAGTGAATAAGGAAGACTGTAGAATAATTGATGCTTTTGAGTTATGGTGTTGGAGAATATTAAAAGTATGATAGACTGCGGAAAAAAAAAAAAAAATCTGTATTGGAAACAGTGCAGCAAGAATGGTTCCTGGAGGCCAGGATGGCCAGACTTCGTCTCTCATACTTCGGACATATTATCAGAAGGGACCAGTCACTGGAGAAGGAGATCATTTTTGGTAAAGTGGAGGATTGGAGAAAAAGAGGAAGAGTCCCAACCAGATGAATTGGCACAGTGGCGGCAGCAGCAATGGGCTCAAGCATACTAATAATTATGAGTTTAGTGCAGGACAGGCAGTGTTTCGTTTTATTATGCATAAGGTAGCTATGAGTCAGTACTGACTCGATGGCATCTAACAACAAAAAAATGTGCAACATAGGGGTTTGGTGTGGTGCCACAGGAAAAGCACTGGATTGCTATCTATAAGGTTAGCACATAAAACACACAAGCCACTCTTGGGAAACCCAATACAGGGTCAATATGAGTCAGAACTAACTCTAAAGCACTTAACAACAATGTACAAAATGAATGGATCTTGAAAACTATGCTAAGCAAAAGTAGTCAATCACAGAAAGCCATATAGTATAAGATTCAATGTATTTAAAACATCTAGAATAGATAAACCCATAGAAACAGAAGTAGATTAGTGGTTAGTGGGGACTGGGAGAAGGGAGGAATAGAGTGATTGCCAATGGATAGTATGTTTCTTTTTGGGATACTGAAAATCTCCTGAAATTAGGTAACAGTGCTAGTTACATAATTCCTTTAATATACTCAAAACCACTGAATTGTACAATTGAAAAGCATAACATTTAGGGTATGTGAATTATATCTCAATAAAAGCTGTTATTAAAATTCATAAAATTAAATAAATAAATACATAATTATTGGGGGCATTGTAGAAAGAACTCTTTCTATTAAATTCTTTTACCATAAAATTCAAATATTCAATAATTTTATGATTTCAACAGTTATTGCCTTGTATTTAAAATGGACAAATGGGGTAAATAGCTCTTTCTATTAGATCTATAAATCCACAAATTCACCGTAAATTAAAAGCAAACCTCACCACCTATAGTAAAACCAAGTCTTCCCCCCTTGAAACAAAGTCTAATATATATGGTTAAAAACTTTTAGTAAAATTTTTATTCATTCTTCTACTTTACAGAGGAATAAAAGGGATTTGAGGCAATTTAAAAAGCAATGGTAACAGGATTAAGCTTTGTTAAGCATAATTTAATCTATGTAATATTAAAATCAAAAGGTCTTATTCTAAATATAGGAGCCCTGGTGACACAGAGGATTAAACATTGGAGTGCTAATCACAAGGTTGGTGATTCAAACCCACCAACTGTCCCACAGAAGAAAGATGAGGCTGTCTGCTCACGCAGATTTACTGTATTGGAAACCCTAGAAGCAGTTCTACTCTGTACTATATGGTCACGATGAGTTGGAATCAACTCAATGCAGTGAGTTTTATTCTGAATACAGTATAGAGATTTACATTACTTATCAGAACTTAATGTACTTAGCTTTCTCATCTCATAAAATGCCAATTTTCTACCAGAATTATCAATAACCAAAGAGCTCTGGTAGCGTAATGGTTACGAATCGGGCTGCTAATCTCTGGGTCAGAAGTTCGAAACTACAAGCTGTTCCACATGAGAAAGATGAGGCTTTCTGCTCTCGTAAAGATTTATAGCCTCGGAAACCCTGTATAGGGTCATTATGAGTAGGAGCCGACTCCACGGCACATAACAACAACAACTATATAACCAGTTAAGAATTATACCACAATTAACTTAATAAATACCTAGATATATTATTAGCAAAATGAAAGCATTATCATTATACTTAAAATAAAATAAATAAGTTAACATTCATTTGTTTGAGGAGATATGAATATGCATACTCAAGATGGTTAAGGTAAAAGAAATTAGAGAGACTCTTACTCAATTTACCATTTCTTCTTAAATGTTTTAAATGACCCCAGTATAAAAACATTTTGTGGACTTGTGATAATTTTCTATTTTAAATTTAAAGTAAACTATATCCAACTCCAAGTAAAACTCATGTATTTTTCTCAAGTATTTGTAAGTAATCATAAATTCAGTACTCTAATGATACCTTTTGCTCCACTTTCAAAAACTGAGCCAGTTCTTCCACAGTTAGGTGATCTTTCTTGTCACTGTAGCTGAGGAGCAACAAATAAAGATCCCGCCTCAACGACATCATTTTGTAAAAAACACAAAACTCTTCAAATGTCAAAGTTCCTTGATTTTCATCTGTGTCAGCTTCCTAAAAGGGGCATAGAAAAAACAAGATAGTGTTAGATTTTGACATAGGAGATTCAGTCATGGGAAACACACCTACTCCCACTTATCTACTATCTCATTATCTGATATTTAATATTTATTAGCAACAAAACTATCTAACAATTAGCAAAAAGTCTACCCAACAATTTACACATTAACAACGTACAACGGGCAGTAACAAAGATCACGGTATGAGGCAAAAGTAATGCTGGCTATGATGGTTACTCCCATACTTCAGACATATATCAGGAGGGACCAGTCCCTGGAGAAGGACATCATGTTTGGTAAAGTGAACAGTCAGAGAAAAAGAGGAAGATCCCCAACGAGATGGATTAGCACAGCGGCAGCAGCAATGGACTCAAAAGTAGTAGTGATTGTGAGGTTGGCGCAGGACTGGGCAATGTTTCATTGTATTGTGCATATGGTCACTGTGAGTCAGTACTGATTTGATTGCACCTAGCAACAATGATGGTTAAAATTATGTGTCAACTTAGCTAGGCTATGATTCTCAGTGGTTTGGTAGTTATGTAAAAATACAATTTGGCAGTAATGCAATCATGGAGTCGTATCATCCTCCATTTGGTGATCTAACATGGTCATCTTCTACTCACATAATGCCAGTGTTCTCACAAAGACCTTTGAAACCTAACCATGTTGATAAGTGAGGAGTGGTGGGTATAATCTTTACAATAAAAAGGATAGTACACATTTCACAAATGGAGAATACACTCTTCTCTGAACTTTATAAAACTTCACTAGATATTAGGCTACAAAGCAGGTTTCAACAAACGAGAAAGAATGTTATACAAGTTATTTCCTTTGACTATAGTAGTTTTATACAAAAGCAAAGTAAGTTATGTGGATTTTTAAGTTAAAAATATAACACACACCTATAAAGTCACTTTAAACAAAGCTCTGAAAACTAAAGAGCTCATTTTTTGTTAACCTTGTATACTGTACTGAATTATTTAATATGTCTCTTCTTTCTTTGGTCCTTATAACTCCCATCAAACAGCTCATTTCCTGATGGGTCTGGGTAAGAGCAGATGGGAGAAGATACTCACAGGATATGATTTGGTTGTGAATGATTGTTAAAAGAGTTGTGACTGTAAAAACTTGGATGTCTAGTGTGTGTACAAAATGAGTCATTTCAGAAGCAGGAATAGGGGATCTCACTAACAAAAGAAGACCTAGATGTGGAGCATCTCCTTTGGATCCACAGATCCCTGTGAATTGAACCTCCTTGAACAAAGGAAGAGAAACCTGTGACATCAGAGGAGTGGCAGAGGAGCAACAGCAGTAGAACCAACAGCCAGAGCATGCGACAGAGTGATGGGCTTTCCAGCCCATGGAACAAGGAAAGCTGAGTGGCTCTGGGCAGGAGGCTTGCTTGTAGAGCAGGTACCTCGAGGCATTTAATTAGGGGAGCTAAATTTGTTGACCAACAGACCTAGCACCATGTGCCCTCAAGCTGAGGCTTATAGTGGATTGGTGTGCCTTGTGAGCATTTATCAGCAGCCTTAAAAGAGCTTTGTAACATTGCAAGGCAGAAAGAGGAATGTCTGTGGGCATGGCAGAGGTCATACTGGTCTGACTGGAAGAATTGTGCTCAGAACATTTCTGATCCTACATTGTAACCTTCCCTAATAAACTCCCTACTTGGGAGTATTGTCTCTTGAGCTCTGTGTAGCCATTGTAAGGAATTATCTAACCTAGCTGAGTAGACAGAGCTGTGGGAAGGATGATAGGTTACATTTGTTGCACATTGGGTCAGTTATGAGCAAACCATTATACCAGTATTTAGATCATGCACAGTTACTATGTGAGACTGATTGCTTGAGTCTTCTGTCATTTCATTTTTAAAGCAAAGACAGAGTGAGCTATAGATTTTGATGTGTGAAGCTCTTGGTTGGACATGCTTTACATTCTACAAAACTGTATACAATGGCCATATTTCTGTCAGGATCCTGTTTCAAAATATCTAGCACTTGTTGTTGTTGTTGTGTGCTGTGGAGTCGGTTCTGACTCATAGTGACCCTGTACAGGGTTTCCAAGGCTATAAATCTTTACGGGAGCAGAAAGCCTCATCTTTCTCCCACGGAACAGCTGGGAGTTTCGAACTGCTGACCTTGAGGTTCACAGCCCAATTTGTAACCACTACACTACCAGAGCTCCTTGCTTAGAAGAGTTTAAAGGCTTCTCAAAAGTTTCTGGTAAATATCTAACAAACTAAGAAGAGTAAAACTCTAAGGTTTAAGCAATAGCATCTAAAGATAGGTTTTTATACATCAAAAGGTTTTTTATACAAAAATATTTTTATACAAAAGCAGGTTTTTATACATCAAAAGACTACTTTGAAATAAATGACCCTTGTGTTACACAAAAATACAAAATAAATAGATTCTAGGAATGCTTTAATGTCAACCAACAATATAGTCAAGAGGAGAATGATTGGACCAGATCCTTGGTCCAATCACTCCCACTGCCAGCTTTCACAGAGTAGGCTAGCTATATGCAAGGACCTCAGTGGAAACGCTCTTCATACAGCAGGCACAACTGCCTACCTCGTCTCTTCTCACTTGATAAGCCTGTTATTGTTTTTTTAACTTTTTCTTGTGAATTGAGTGAAGTTTTACAAACAAGATCATCAGTTTTACAGTCACCATATGATACACCTTGTTTCATCTCAGTGTTTGCAATCTCATCTGTGTAATAATAGATATCCGGCTTCTTCCCTATGCTTCCTATTGTCATCCCACTCTCCTTCCTATTCCTTCTCAACTTTGTCCCATTGGATCTTGAATGTTTGACCATTCCAGGGTGAGCATACCTTACTACTGTTGTTGTCCCTGTCCCCCACTATACACCTATCTACTGCTTAGTAGAAAATTGAGTTCCACCCAAGACCTGAAAGGTAGTTGAGGGTCATAGTATCAGATTCTTACAGTCGCTTTCTGACCAGTAAGACCAGTCTTTTCTTCATAATTTTGAGTGTTGTTTCACAAATTCTCCCACTCTAACAGGGACCTTCTAATGTGATCTCTTTCAGAATAGTTGGTAGTGTTAGTGGGCATTAATATATTTTTAGACCTAAATTCATAAAAGAGACTTTTAACGTTGTCTAAAGACTTTTCCATAGCATTTACTTTGAACCTTTAAGACATTTAAAATATACTATCTCCTCTAAGTACTAGATAGATTAGAAGCAATTTCTGGAGGGGGAAAAAAAAAAAAAAGAAATCAATCTTACTTCCAATAAGTACTATCATTTTTATAGGTATAGACTTGGTCCTACTCTTTAGCTTGACCTCTCTTATTAAATTAGCAGTTCTGTAAACACTCATATGAGGATTGTGAGATGAGGCTCACCACAGGACAAAAGTAAGATGGCAGGTTTGTCATTCCGTTAGTACTAATTCATTTCCCTGCCAAAATCTCCTACTCCACCTGGGGGGGGGGGGGTTATATATCACACCCCTTCCTCCTTTTTCCTTTCTTCCTGCTGCTCTCTAGTGCAACAGGGTAAAGTTCACCATAATGCAAATAATCTCGAACCAACAATGTCCTAAGAACAAGACCATCTTAAGAACTGAGCAAGACTCCGTCTTCCATTTATTGCTCCAACTCATACCTCATGTTGTTTCTGACTTGACCACCTCTCTGGTAGCGTAGTGGTTACGAATCGGGCTGCGAACCTTAAGGTCAGCGGTTCGAAACTACCAGCCGCTTCGCGGGAGAAAGATGAGGCTTTCTACTCCCGTAAGGATTTACACCCTTGGAAACCCTGTACAGGGTCGCTATGGGTCGGAACCGACTCGACGGCACTTAACAACAACAACAACAACAACAAGTGGTTAGAAAACAAATGAGTCATGAAACAATGGACCCTCGACTTATTTTCAAGTGTACAATATATCGCTTGCCTTATAACCTAGAATAGAAAATCACTGCAGAACACAGGTCATGAATGTATATTATTTACCTACAAATAAGAATCTGTCTTTTATAAATTAAACATCTACAAACTACTAACAGTCAAATATTGTTTTTACCCAGACTCAAAATTATCAGAGCTCATTTCTGTACCTTATCCTGGGGACTAAAAAGAATCCCAGCTGGGCACCACAGAATGTTTGGGCTCAATTACTTACCAACAGAGAAAGAGGATCTCATGTAACATCAATAAGCAATTGATTATCACTTCTGAAGAGCTGAATAAATGGTAGGGGGGATATAGCACTGCTAAGCCACCACTATTGTAAATCTTAAACAAACTCCTTTGAAACTAAACAAAGGGTTATTGGGGACTTAGCAAGTGCTATTCTTTTTTATGCTACTTAGTCTTTATTCTGATCTTCACAATAGCTCGGGGAGGTAGTCAGATGATATATTATTATTCTTGGTAAAAGGCTTGAACAAATTTACTGCAATATTTAAGAGTCAGGTAAAGTGCTTATAATTACTCTGAGAAAAAACAACAATAAAAAAAAGGCATTGTAGAATTTGCATTAAGTCTATGTTTATGAAGCTTTTTCCTTGATGAAGCAAATAACTCTCTTCATTAAAAATAAAGTAAAATAGTACAGATCAAATAATGTTGGTTTTCAACAAGATAAAACAGCCTTTTAATATAGGCTCCAATATACATGTTAAATAAGGCCAAAGTGATTGTGAAGACGCACCTGAAACATTTGTCTGACCTTTCTTCGGGGCAGGTTGACGTTTAGTTTATGCATCAACTGGTGTATCTCTTCAATATTCAATAAGCCATCCCCATTCTTATCAGCTTCCTCAAAGGTCTGCTTCACCCATGTGCAAAAAAGTCAAGGAAAATACTGAAGTTTGCATCAAAATAAAAGCTGCTTCCTCATGGAAAAATCTCAAGGACATTATCAGCAATACCCAAATGTGAAGGAAATAAATCTGTTTAAGAGGAAGCCCACAGGTACTGATAGTGATGACAAAAAGAAACAGGGGGGGGAGATGATGTGTATTCAGGTGTTTTCATTCACTGTGAAATCAGTCAAACCAGATGATATCAAGATTTAATTCAAAACATGCTATATATACCACACTTTTCTAAATTAAGTATTGAGCTTACTGCTTCAAGAAAACACTAGTTATATCATATAAGGAAAAAACTACAGAACTAGTTCTAATCTACTCTAGCAAGATGTTTCCACCTTATTTCACTTCTCCATTAGCTGACTCCTTAAATTTTAAATGGTTCTATGTGACTTTATGGACTCCTGGTGTGGTGCTGTAGGTTAATACACTGGACTGCAAAGTCAGTTTGAACGACAAGGACAGTGGTTCAAGCTCACCAGCCGCTCCTCGGAAACTCTATACACAGTCGCTATGGGTTGGAACTCACTCAATGGCACTTGACAACAATATATGACTTCCTACGTTATCCCGTTTTACTTCTCATTCCCTGTCTAATTTTTTAGCTGTTCTACTGTGATGCTACTATGACAACAGTAACACAAATCTTGTGTCTCTATTATTTCTCATTTGTACAGTTGGAATTATCCGTTTATGAAATATGTTGATAGTATGCAGCAAGAATGGGCCAGTATTGTAGCTCCCAAGCATTTTGTGAAAGAATCTCCTTATGATATGATGAAATTCCAAATATACTTTTTCAAATTTAGACCTTATCTTCTTCTATGCTCTTTCATCTAGCATCTTTTTGCATTCACAATATCCCAAGCTATCCACTTTGTAAAATTCTCTTTTGTCTTTTATGTCTACATTCAGAAAATGTTAACCCCTGTAAAGATCCCCAGAAACCATCAGATTCAATCTCATCAAACAAGGACACAAAACTAGCAGAGGGTGACATTTGGTAAAGTTTAGTGAGAAATCTCACTTTTGCAATCTGGTTTAATACTCCTTCCCCTGCATACAAGGCCTGTCTCTTTACTACGTTCCTTGTTCTATTATTAGCCTTTATGGTCCCCACACATGTAAATCCTGGGAAATGATATGAAGTACAATGCTGATATGACAGGGGTTGCCCTGGTAGCGCAGGTACAAACCTACTGCCAGAGAATATAAAGTTGAGTGTAGATAAAATAGATCAACATAAAGTGATTGCAGATTTCGAAAGACTTAAAAGATTTTAAAAGTAAGATGAGTGTAAGTCTGTTTTACCCAGTTAGAAAGCAATCTCAATGTCAATAAAGTGGATGAGTAGAAAAATGTCTGGTGAAACTTTAGCTTCAAATTTTGGGAAAAAAAAAAAAATGGATGGCTTGTCTTTGTTGAAGAATAACAAGTGAGTGGGGTCACTGAACACAGGAATTGTGTATGGACCAGCATGAGTTTCAAAGTGCAAAAAGTAACACAGAAGAAAAGAAATCAAAATGATGAAAACCAGAGAACCAAAGTAAGGGGAAGGTATAGATTTCAAACCAAGAACTGGGAGAATGGGAAGTACAGCAGAGGAAAGGGTCATGGATATTTGTTGATCTGGCATCACACCGGACATTTCTATTTTAATTCAAAATATTAACTAAGTTCTCCATGGCAGCATGGAACATTTACTTTCCTTATATGATTCGCATTGTGGCAGTAGGAGACTACCTGAGAAAGTAAAAACTACCAGAAAGAAGGTCTTAATCCTTTTAAAGTTAAATAGAGGTGAGTTTGAGAATGTAAATACTTTGCTTCACATATTGTTACCTTCATAACATTAAGAAATAACCAGCCCAGTTCTTTCAAGTTCAATTTTCTCTCAGAGTTCCGTCAGGACCTCATTATAGATGACACTTGGAAGTTAAAGGGAGAACAAGGCCTAAGGGAAGAAAACTGAAGAATAAAAAGGGTGTAACATTTGGCCCAATTACTAATAAGTAGGTTGATCTCATTCTGTCTGTTTTCTGGGCCCACAGTGCCCACTATTTCTGTGGATACTGCTCACATTCCATATGGCCACAATTCAAAGAAGTGCTAAAATGAATCCAATGACAGTAATATTTTCTTCCAAATGTCTTTCAGTCTGTAATCATTTACCAAAGCCTCTTAAAGACTTGTCCTGACAAGATGCAGAACAGCCAAGCCCCAAATATATTTTGTAGCTATGAACCCTATAGAGTGTTTATATGTCCTCAAGGTCTTCTACATCAATACACCAATGCCCTTGACAATGGAACAAACAGAAGATGGGACTGGTAAAGCAGCGATAGAGATAGAGTCAGGTGTAGGAAATATACTTTAATCCCAATCCAACTGCTGAGCTGTCCCTGACACAATAGGTCATTTACACCACCTCTTCGGTATTCTTCTTTATCTACAACGTCAGGAAGCACAACTAAACAACACTGAAGTTCCTTCCAATTCTGAGATTCTATGAAAGGAAAAAGGAGCCCTCATAGTATAGTGGACTACGAGCTGGCCTACTAACCACAAAGTCAGTTGTTTGGATCTACCACTCACTCCGTGGAAGAAAGACGAAGCTTTCTGCTCCTGGAAAACTTTACAACCTCAGAAACCCTACAAAGGGTCACCATGAGTTGAACCAACTCAGTGGCACACAACCACCACCACCACCATGAAAGGAAAGACCATTCTTTCCCAGTAACAGTACACATAGGATAAGATTCAATTGCAGGTAAAAGTATCTGATATCTTAAAGCTAGTCTTCATAATTAAGATATGAGTGTCCAGGACAGCCCGGTGTTAATGATTCATATCAATACACTTTGGACATATTATCAGGAGGGACCAGTCCCTGGAGAAGGACATCTTGCATGGTAAAGTGCAGGGTCAGCGAAAAAGAAGACTCCCAAGGAAAGGGATTGACATGGTGGTCGCACCAATGGACTCAAACATAACAATTGTGAACACGGTTCAGGTTCAGACAGTGTTCTATTCTGTTGTGCATAGGTTCGCTGAGTCAGTCCCAACTCAAAGACAGCTAACCACCACCATCCATACACATGATAATCTTAAGAAAAAAGTTACTCTGCAGAGTAAACCTAGAAACATTCCAAAATGAATGAAAAGTTGTTGTTGTTATGTGCCATGGAGTCGGTTCCAGCTCATAGCGACCCTGTACAGGGTTTCCAAGGCTGTAAATCTTTACGGGAGCAGAAAGCCACATCTTTCTCCCGTGGAACAGCTGGTAGTTTCGAACTGCTGACCTTGCGGTTCGCAGCCCAATTCGTAACCACAACACTACCAGAGCTCCTTGATGAAAAGTAATGATCAATTATTTTCTATCAAGAACCCATCAGAGGAACCTAGAGCCAGTGGGCCTGGAGGAAGGCAGACTCTCCAGTGAGTAGTATCCAATCTGCCTAGGCAGAGCTGATGAAATGAAATGCAGATGGGTCTCTTGTGATACAATAGTGAATAATTGTTATCAGGACTGATTGTGAAGGTTAGAAATGTAAAGGTAGTCATTTT